ATTGAAAACAAAATAGGAAAATATAGAACGTTTGGATGCACTAATTAATTTTGTCTGGTTTTGAATTTTTTGGTTATAAAAATGGAAGCAAAAATAAAACACGTATTAATTGTTTAACCTAATATCGCTTCAGAGTACAATCGTGGATGTAAATTATGAAAGACCAAATGGGATTTTTTTTTTTAAAGCCGTTCATGCAAAATTTCGATCAAAAACGGCAACAAGAAAGTTTCTCGCGAAGACACGCAAGACATAAGAAAACGCACATGAAGTGGGATGACATGCAGAAGAATGATTATTTATACACTTAAATTGACCTGACGTGTGCAGAGAGGGGCGCAGAGCAGGTGTAGATCAAGTCAGTCTGGAATGTAGGCTAAAATGTACCGACGATGATTTGGCAGATTTTACAATGAAAGCAATTGACATATCAGCCTTGACCCGAGTTAAGTATGGCATGCACGAACCCTAACCCGTGCGTAACAACGCCTGATTGCACTTCTATGCGAGATTGTTTGTTCTCATTTATTGTAATGTAAAAGGCTTTCTGTCCACTCGTCTGTTTGACTGCCGACTGAACAGGACACGAACGAGCTTTGCTCCGGTAGAATCCAAGATGCCTTCCTTCAAAGTTGTGTACTTCGACGCTCGCGGAAGGGCCGAGCCGACCCGTGTGATGCTAGCTCACGTCGGCCAGGCGTTCGAGGATGTCCGATACAAGAGCGAAGAGTGGGCTAAGGTAAAAGCCGGTAAGTTTTAGGTGCAGTCAGCCATCATATAGCGTTATGAGTCAGCGGACCACAGAGCAGATTTAGGACTCTCACAATTGAAGGTATAGGACCTGGATTTTAAAAGTCATGCAGAAAACCACCACAAGTGCCTGCTAACCCCCTCTTGGCAGCTACCCACCCCTTTATAATCCCCTCCTCTTAATCTATCCATGCAATGGTCAGGTACAATATTACAGTGAAGAGTGTTGAAGCTTGAAACAGTAACAGATACAAGCAGGTACACAGCATTTTGAATCTATCGATTTTACCCACAGCCACAGCTGCCGTTGCAGGAAAAAAAAATGTAACACCTCAACTAGGTCGTCAAAATAAAATTTGGGTTGTTTCATGTATGCATAGGCCTACGCACACGCACACATTGGGAAAGCCGATGCAAAAATGTGAACACCTGATTTAGTTGTGCCACGGAGGACTCAGGCCTAGATCATTCCTCAAGGTTGTGTTATTCATAACCGGCTGTGCCTATTGCGACATGAGACCAAGTCAGGGTGTCGACGATCCCGGCCCGCCTACTCTACTAAACAAACTCTGCACGTTTTCTGGTCCCTGCAATGTAAATACGCCCTTTGACCCCATAGCTAGACTGTATACAGTTCTAAAAAAAAAAATATTATCATGGCCACAAACAGCATGTTGTGGCAACCTTGAAGAACGAATCGACTGCGGCTGGAATTAAGCCTAGCTTACATTTTGGCGGGAAACCAGCGCATTGTTGTCCATGATCCTTGAACTTAATTCCTAAGAGCGTCACAATAGTTTCCATGGGAACTCGGAATTTGCATCGCGTCGAGTTTATGGGTTATTCATTAATTTTTTCAAGGAGGCAAATCCAGATATGTCACGTAGGCCAATGGCATTATTGAATTACTTATTAACTCATAGTTGTTTTCAATATGCACTGAAAATTTTATGTTTGTGTCCCTCTATTTTAAGCCCTCGTTAAAAAATAATAAATGTCATGAATCAAGAGGATATGTAAACAGAGGATATGTAAAAAAATGTTTAAAAAAAAATAATAAAAAAAAAATAACCAAAAAAAAAATAATGATAGTAATTCATTGCCAAAATGTTGCAAACTGTTTCCAGACCTTCGAAACTCAGGCCCTCAAATTAAAAGACGATTATTTCAATATTTGCGCAGTACAGATCAGGTTCGGTTGAAAAGCTCACTTTTTAGTTGTACAACTTGAGTATAGTTGTACAACTTTCTTTCTTTTTCCATGTACAATTCCTCCCAAGTTCTGCAAAACTTAATATGCCATTTTGTATTCTTCCTATCGTAGAGACTCCGTTGCAGCAGCTACCCTTACTGGAGGTCGATGGCAAGCCTATCCCACAGAGCCGGGCCATGCACGGCTTCGTCGCAAGGCATTTCGGTGAGCAATCGTGAAACATTTTCTTGCGATGTCATCAGCAAGTCATCATGGTTACACCTCTATGTTCCGATAGCCTATGTTCCGACACTCCTATGAATCCTAACCCTATAAATGGTTAGAAGCTTAACATGTTTTACGCATAGCAAGATTGTGTTAAATTGCCGAACACATTTTATTACTTTCGCCATTGTTCATCCTGAATTAATCATTCGGGATGTCATGTGACTTGACGCATATGTATCCAGTTTTTCGACATGCGGTGCATGCATTATTGTAACCGAACAGGTTACGTTAGTTCATTAGTTAGGTAATGTAATAATTATTTGTCTCATTTGTGCAGGCTTAAATGGCGCAAACAACGAGGAGACGACGAAAATTGACATCGTGCTGGCCATCACCGAGGACCTCGTAGACCCGCTGGCCAAGATTTTGTTCTACGAAAAAGATGAGGCCCAGAAGGTATGATGGATTTTTTTTCAGAGGGTTTGTTGACAGAAAAATATGAGAATGGTATTATCATAAAGCAATACATTTATTTTGTTAGAATAAATCTGGAGATGAAAATAAGTGGTGACGTGAAGTGGTGACGTGAAACGGGGATAGATGGGACGGGGTAATAATTGTCACACGTTTTTAAATCTTTTATCACAATCGAAATGTATCTATTTTGTTGTATTTTGTGGGGAGTAGAAGGAGAAAATGGCGGCTTACTTGAAAGACACAGCTCCCAGATTCTTGAAGGGACTGGAAGATATCTTGAAACACAACGGTGGTGGCGATGGCTTCTTCGTTGGCTCAAAGGTAATATTTATTCATATCTTACACTTATGTCCTTAATTTATCCAAAGGGCGCCCTCTGCGAGTAATATGCTTTGTGCACCCACACCTGGATGTAGACTACATGTATTTAGAAGCTTTTGATATGAAAGTATTTCCGTGCTTAACATATCTATTAAAAGCTTGGTATTTTCTTATGCAGAATTATTATGGACCCATACTGAGCCGGAGTCCCCCACCCACACCAAGTACAGTGCATAAGACCTCGCCAAGCTGAGGCATGAGATAAAACCAAAATTTTAAAAAATACAAATTTGATTCACTTTTCTTTTCAGATCTCTCGGGCCGACATTGTCTACCTCGTTGCCGCGGAAGCGTTCAACAACGACGAGGTCCTGAAACAGTACCCGAAGCTGTACGCCTTGAAGGGACGCGTTGCCCAGGACGCCAACATCGCTGCTTACTTGGCCAAGCGTCCCAAAACACAATTTTAAACAGAGACACAAAATGTCTACTCAACTTCGGCCAGAAGAAATGATGATGTGAATATTCCATATACCTCTCTGAATGTGATATAATTTTAATGTAGAATTCAGCATGTGCGTGACGTGCACTGGTTCAAATGTTTGTGCTGTTTGTTTAACTCTTGAGGGCGCTGTACCCTATGAGGTCAAAGAGGTCAATAGAATACTAATACCAAAAAGACGTGATTATGTGAAACACAGCTTAGAACATTTGATAAATGTAAATTACTTTGTCGTTATGATCAAAACTGATTCCACAAAATATAATGTGTAGGCATGAACGTTTAACTTCATTCGTGTATGCGGTTGTAAACGGTACGATGGTTTGAATAAATGACCGGAAGTGATGCTTGTGGGTCAATTGGACATAGGCCTAAATGATGTTGAGTTAAACATTCTTTGCTACTTACATGCACATGCACGGTGGCTGCAAAGAGGCACCCCACTCACGCCCTCAACTCCCCTCCCCCCCCCCCCTCACTCAACAGACTACCGCCAAACCCGTTCCAAAAACTCAAAAGGCGGAAAGTGCCAAAAGTAGACTTTTGTTTTGCTTAAAACCCTTTGACGTCGCCCTTCAGATAAAACGTCCTCAGTCCCATCACCCCCCCCCCCCCCGATGCAGTGGAAACCTTGACCCTCATGGAGTTACAGCAGTACTGCACAGCGATAGGGCAGGAGCAAATGGCTAAGGAATTATCAGATGAGGACGGGATAAGCTTCCTCTGGTGCGTTTGAAAACAATGAAATTGTACTGACACTTATATACAGAAGTATATTAAGTTTGATAGAGTTTGTGTCGATTCTTCGAGAAAAAAACGAGAACCTCGGGGGTAAAGGTAGCCTTGACCAAGGCTCCTCAGTCCCATCACCCCCCCCCCCCCCCCCCCCGATGCAGTGGAAACCTTGACCCTCATGGAGTTACAGCAGTACTGCACAGCGATAGGGCAGGAGCAAAATGGCTAAGGAATTATCAGATGAGGACGGGGATAAGCTTCCTCTGGTGCGTTTGAAAACAATGAAATTGTACTGACACTTATATACAGAAGTATATTAAGTTTGATAGAGTTTGTGTCGATTCTTCGAGAAAAAAACGAGAACCTCGGGGGTAAAGGTAGCCTTGACCAAGGCTATCAGCTTGTTCTCATACGAGCTTGTTCCCGCTACCGCACACCGCGCGCGCCGCGCCGCGACACAATCACTAGTTGTACTATACCGTTAGCCTCAACGACCCTTGCGTGTGCTTTGTGTGCATGTATTGTACGTACGCCCCACACACACTTCCGCAAACAGCCGTACAATAAGTCGAAGCGCTTCCGCCTCGACTTACTGTACGGCTGTTTGCGGAAGTGTGTGTGGGGCGTAAGTACAACATGTACATGCACACAAAGCACACGCAAGGGTCGTTGGGGCTAACGGTATAGTACAACATTGTGTCGCTGCGCGCGCGGTGTGCGGTAGCGGGAACAAGCTCATATGGGAACAAGTGATAGCCTTGGTCAAGGCTAGGGTAAAGGTTAAATTCTGCTCGCATTTATTCAAATGTTTCCCACGGCGGCGCTGAAAAGGTCTGTCACCCACAAATGTGGACCTTGTTGATATAGTGATATTGCAGTTCGCTGGCGTTGCACTTTGGTCCGTCTGGCAGGTTGGGTTTGTTTTATTAGGAAAACACACTTCTGACACAATACATCAAAGTGTTTATAATAAAATCAACATATATAGGTAACTCGTTGAGATTTGTGCTTACTCATACTTTATGCACAGGGGCGGAACCAGAAATTTTTGCAGGGGGGGGGGGTGGGCCCGTCAGATTTGGTTTTTAATCAGTGCTGAAATGTACACAGCTTATATTTTTTCTCTGGACACGTGGCCTCCGTAAAATCGAAGGGGGGAGGGAGGGGGGCTGGCACCATTCTGCCAAATTAAAATATCACCTCGGGCCTGTGAGTGACCAGAAGAGGGTCCTATTTCCCTCGGCCTTCGGCCTCAGAAAATAGGACCCTCTTCTGGTCACTCACAGTCCCTCGGGGAGCATAGACGTGCCCTAGTGGTCGACCTCATTGCATACTAATAAACGGTCGTGAATATTTTCGCGACTAGTCGTGAATATAATTTTTGCGACTAGCAAAAATATTCACGACCGTGTATGTCCCTCCAAAGCCACCATATCATGTGGTATTTTTAGATTTCAAAATTTTCACTAATGTGAATGTCGTTGACTTCCGGTTCATATCTGCTCATAATGATGTCTGGTGTCCTCGGTGCTATTATTTGTTTATAAAGTAAGAGGCCTTTGAAGGGCGTTCTCCTAGACTTTAACATTCAGAATATATTTGTTGAATTATATACGGTCAACTTTGGATGTGACATACACATTTGAAAAAAAGTCATCATTTGTCAAATGTGCTTTGAAACATACACTATGCTGGTTTAAATTTGTCTAGATTGCAGGCAGAACGTGTGTGCCCTTCTGCTACATAGCTCGTCACACAAAAACCAAAGCCATGAAATAGCAAAAAAGACAGGAAATTTGCTGAATAATGCATACTCCATTTCATCGTGTAAAAGCGGACTGCCGATTTAAATATTTATCAGAAAAACAACGAGTGTTTGCATAGAGTTAATGTTTAACGGCACGCTTCTTTGGCATGTAGCCGTCGCCGGACATATAAAGCGGAATCGTCCAGCAATATTGTCACTCGGGTTTTTGGCTGCATGCACTCCGTACACTATCGTTCGTGATTTCCTATAGGTTCCATTATGCCATCCTATAAAGTGGTTTACTTCAACAGTCGCGGCAGGGCGGAACCAATCCGTCTGATGCTCGCTCATGTCGGCCAGAAGTTCGAAGACGTCCGCTACACTCACGAGGAATGGCCCCAACATAAAGCAGGTAAGACTAAAATTAGGCGGACATAATAAAATACCATGCACTGTGACTGGAACAACGCTCGCGCAGGTGGTACGCGTTCTTTTGGTGAAGGCGCACGTGCACTTTGGCAACCCTATTGGTCGAAGGGGCATTGAGTGCGCGCGTACCACCTGCGCACGAGCTTGGCTCCATCGCCACGAAATGATATTTAGGGACTCCAAATTCTAATTCGGGCTGCGCAGAAAGTAAGTAACATAACGCTAACAAGTCTTAAGATTTGAGTGAGAACTCCAACTTCCTATCTGCTTTATTGACATTGCACTTTAGGCCCAAGCCCCTCGAAAGCGTCTAGGCCATGGTTCGTGGACCGCAAACTGCCACAATAATTTATTTGGGGCTGTTAATCAATACCGTAATTTGCTATATAAAAAAGAACCTTTGATAGTAAAATCGTGTGTAAACAATATTGACTTCGCAGATAAATGCAATGTACACTGAACTTGAATGGCGTGATCCTTGCCAGGCACTAGTGAATGGGTCAACAGTGTTATTTTGCACAATAGCCCAACCCCTTCCCACCTAGAGCTGAAATTGAAACTTGTTTTAGGTATCTTATATACTACCCTCAAGTCAACCTCTAACGAATAAAGATTATAGATTAAAGAACGACTTCTTTTTAAGCTCTGGCAGGAGCTTCTACATGTCACTTAGTGGTCGGTTGGTCTGTCCCCTGAAAATTGACCAAAATAATCTTTCCATAACAAAAAAGTTTCCCATGAAATATACCCATTTTTCAAAATAACCAAACAAACTAAATATATACAATTCGTAAAGATGTTTACGAAAAGTTTGTTAATGGAGGCAAAAAAATGTCCAGGAATGTTACAGTCACGTGGTATTTATCACAAATTGCTATAAATCTAGGTATAAAATCTAAGTATGGTGTTCAATATGTGCCATCGGCGTCGCAGTTTTGGGCGTCACATTTTTAAGTTCTGGCGGGGATCATTTTGATCGATTTCATGCATGACTTCACTGCTTATTGTGCACTCACACTTGTTCTTCTGTATGATATTTTCATTGTATTCCATGACTGCCCACCATTTTGTTACCAAGGTTCGTTTGTTCGATAACTTTCCTCCAGTTAAGGTATCTGACTGTTAGGACACAACAAAACCACAACAAAATGCTCCCGTGTCCACACATGGATTGAAAAGTTCAACCGTGTTTATTCTCCTCACTTGAATCAGGGGCTCCGTTGCAGCAGCTGCCCTACCTGGAGGTAGACGGTAAAGCCATGCCACAGAGCCGGGCCGTTCTTGGGTTTCTGGCCAGGGAGTATGGTAAGTAATGTAAGGACCCCACTTCTAGAACGCTGCAATATTAAGACCCGTTAAGAAGGCTGCGGATCTTGTTGCTAGGTGCGCAGCCTGCGTGCGCAAATAAGTGTTGTCGGTCTCTTGCTGCCGGTCGCCATGTTGCATGCTGCGACGTGATTGGCATTTCGCCGGCCTTTCGTCACACTTTTGAAATGGCGGTGGATCATCATTTCACCCTCCAATGTATTTGCATATTAATGGGAGACATTACATGTATGTAGATGCTGTTGGGAAGCCAACAGAGATGGGATCCATCTCCTGAACCCTCAGGAATTTTTTTGTAATTCGAATTAAATTTGTGAAGAGTTAACTAAAGGTAATATATAGCTTGGAATTTTAACTAACTTTTTTTAGAGTTATTCAATCAGGAAATAATATTGTCTTGTTTGAATTGTAAGTCACTCTTTTGGAATCGAATTATATCTTAGTGATTCATGTGAGCTCCTAGGTACTGGTTAATTCTATCTTCAGTTTAATTAGTGTTTTGTCCAAGTGCATGATCCAACTAAAGTGTAAGATGGACCTATGCATACACACAGTGGCAACACTGCACATGCAGAAGTGGGATCCTTACACTTTTTGGTATAAATATAGACTAGTCATTTCAAACCATTGGTAGCACCAATTAAGCATAGACTACGAGATTTTTTTTTTATACAAAACTATAAAATTTCTCATCTGGAAGCCTTCTTTTTTCACTGTATGCAGGCCTGAATGGTGCTAACAATGAGGAGACAACCAAAATCGACATCATCATTGCCATTATGGAGGATCTGACACAACCACTGGCCAAGATATTTTTCCAGGAAAAGGACCCAGCCAAGCAGGTACAAGATTTGTTTTCTTGTTAACTTTAACAGTAAATAAGCAATTACTGTTCATAGCCCACAGCCCCTACATAAGAAAATGGCACTAGCAGGCCTCTTTCGGGAAAGACACTCAAAAGGTTATTTTCTAAATCGAAATAATTTTTTTTTTTGAGATCGTGACCTTTTAGGAATATTTCGTGCATCTTTCATTTTCTTTTAACTAATGAATTTGAAACTCATGAAGCCTTAAGTAAAATACAAACTCAGACTTTTTATATAACGGATGACAACATAATCAGAGGTCAGACATAACTTTGGCAATGTCGTTGTGTTCCCCCTTTTCCAGAAAGAGCTTTTCGCCGTCTACCAAGCTGAAACTGTTCCGAAGTTCTTGGGACCCCTTGAGCACATGCTGAAGGAAAACAAAGGCGGGGATGGCTACTTCATCGGGTCAAAGGTAAAGACAAAAACCCAAATAAACAAAGCCATCAATGTCATCAATGTAATCCAAGCTCCTTTCCCCCAAAAAATTCAATTTATTAACATTTTTGCTTTTTAATATAAAACCCACCAGTCATCTTTGTACCTATCTCACTGACTCACTAAAAAAATATTGTCTCTTGTGAATTAGACTTGAATAAGTATCGCCTTGGCCCAAGAATTTAAAATTGCTGGCCTCAGAGGTCCAGCCTACAATCCAATTGGTATTAATACCTCAATGACAGACTCACTGACTCAAGACTGTCATTTGGGTATGAGACTTGCATAAGCATCACATTGGTCCAAAATCTGACTCAGATGACTTGCTAGACGCCTTAGACCACATTAGTAGTCAGGGATCTGCTTTACATAGTTTTGCGGTTACGTAGCCTGGTTATGTGTATACATGTTCATGCTTATACATTTCAGATCTCGAGTGCCGACATTACTTCTTTGCCTGCGCCGAATTTTTCAAGGAAGAACAGGGCATCTTAAAGAAATACCCAAAGCTCACTGCTCTGAAGGAACGCATCGCCAAAGACCAAAAGATCGCTACTTATCTGGCCAAGCGTCCGAAGACTGAATGGTAACCGCCGCTTGAAGAGCAGATGTTGAGGGCCATGTAGAAAGTTTGGTTTTAGAAGTGATCTTATGTCAAAAAGTAGCTTCAAACTAAAAAAAAAATACTATGAGCTTAAAACTCAAATAAACAAGTTTTCGATAACTGTTTTGTCTCGGCAAATCAACATTTATTGTACTTCACGGTTTACAACGGCAGACTGTAAAATATAAAATGTGAAATCATGATTTTTTTTTAACCCAATTTTACACTTTTTATGTTTGAATCTATCCATTTATTTTTAAGATATCCTTCTTTTGATTCCTATGTATTAATAAACTATGTTTTTGTTTCGTTTTGAAAGAAAACTTCCAATTCAATTTGACAAATGACCAAAAGCTTGCCAATAAACATATGATTGAGAGACAATACGCCATCTGAACTTGAAACCCGTTTGTGCATTTTACTCTCTTTTTTTAATTATAAAACAAAATGAGTACGTTGGAATGCTGCTGCAATATATACACGAAAATTGTTATTTGTTTGTTTTGAGTTAGATGATAATTGGTTTTGCATAATTGTCTGTTCCTGAAGTGAAGTACTTTATTTCATTTCCTTTTATTGCTCTGCTGACTATCAACAAGTAGTCTAAGGTATGAAGAGTCAAAATAAATTACAGGTGAACAAAACTTCTTTTGTTTCATTATTATTGCGTGACATTCTTTGGCGTATTATTGATTGGACATCACAAGAAGGTCGATGGAGCCATAAGACAAAGGCATGCCCGTCGCCAAGGGGGCCGGTGGGGGCCGGGCCCCCAACGGCAAAACCAATACATTATGCTTTTTTTGTATTTTTTTTATGGTAGTGCCCCCCCCCCCCCCCCCCCCCCCCCCCCCCCCCCCCCCCCAGTTGGTACCGTACTATGGCCCCCTGATGCTCAGGGCTGGCGACGGGCCTAGACAAAGGTATAGCAGACTGAACATGAGTATGGCCTATGTGTACTGAGTTTAGCTGCAAAGAATTGATATTAAATTGGTACGACTTCAGGAAGGAGACGCTGGAGGCGTCTGACCTTCTAAGCTAGGTCACGGTGTTTCTAAAGGCAGCGTACAAAAACCTATGAATGGCTTCACTGATCGAACGACGGCAACCTTCAACAGTGCACGGCAGTCGGCAGTAATTCAAGGTGGTTATACTCGAGGTCTTGCCCGTATGTGAGTTACAATAGTTTAGTTCGTCTCTGCCGTCGTAAAGCACAGCTCGAAGATGCCTTGTTACAAAGTGGTACACTTCAACGGCCGTGGGTATGCCGAGCCGACCCGTATGCTGCTCGCTCTCGTTGGCCAAGAGTTTGAGGATGTTCGACACTCGACTGCGGATTGGCCCAAGCTCAAAGCCGGTATGTTTTGTAAGATACGAGGTACAAACTGTACGTACATGTTCACCATATTGTTATAAACATATGCCTGTATATACATGTACTATGACTGACCTCGGATGACCTGGCTCTGTGTTTGATGCATGCGCATGTACAGCATCACGGAAATCAGGTCATGAGTTATGTCTCGAGTAAAAACCCCTACATGGGAATAGAAGTTTCAATGAAGTTATATGATTTGAGGCAAAATTGCGTTAGTTTTATGTGCACAAATTACACAATTAATGGGTATAAGGCCCAGAAACACGAATATACAACATGAATTGACTCGCTCGTACCCAAAGACGCTGGTGAAGTCTTCTTAGTTGAGTTATCACTTTGAACTGAACCGGGGGGGGGGGTCAACGCTTCCGCCTACTCACTACACGTGGAATATGCACGTGCAATTATTGATAATCACGATAAGCTACCCATAATTCTTTGCAACGCATGCGTTTGAATTCCCTCCTAAAATTCATGGTGTAATATAGCGGCCACCAGTAGCCTAACTGAATAGGGCACTGGAGACCGTGGCGGCTAGCCTATAATTCAGTTAGCTAAATCTGGCTGCAAGCTACAGGGTAGTGCAAAAAGAAGGAAACCAACTTTTGACAGCAATTTCACCTACTTGTTGAGCATATTCCAAAAATTCCACTTTAATAGTATTAAAATATTGATCTATAAACATAATTGACGAAAAAATGATTGCAAATGCATATTTTGTCTCTATGATAGGCCTATGTTAGTTGAATCATTCAAGTGCCAAACCTGTTTGCCACGGACTTATTCCATCCGCTTGACTGAGCTCCGGAGCTCGATTTGAAGACAAAAAACACTACACTAGACTTGCACGTGGACAACAGTGATTTTGGTGACATGTATTTAAATTAGCATGATAACACTATTCTTGCGAATTTTTGAAGATTTTTTTCACCACGTATAGTTGAAGAGCTATACTACACAACATTATTTAAAAATTCCAGTCAAAAGTGGGTTTCCGCACTATTTGTGCATCACTAAATTGCTTGTTTACTCATGCTCTTCTCCTCCAATAGTGGAGGGGTGGCAAAGGTGGTCCCTGATGATATGGGCCTTAGGCCTAACTATAGCAGCAGACAATATTATTTTCCAAAGGGCTTATACTTTTTCATATTTACTAAAATGGGTGCATAGGAAAGGTCAAGGAAGCTAATAAGAGGACTAGTGCACACAAACTTTTTCTAGAATCTTTACAATTTTTGACTACTTTTATTTTCTAAAACGGCTCTCCCGGACAGATGTTCCTTTGCAGCAGTTGCCTTACATGGAGGTCGACGGGAAAATCATTCCCCAGAGCCGGGCCATGCATGGCTTCGTGGCCAGAGAATTCGGTAAGTTTCCGTTCAGATGTTGTCATTATTTTATCTTTAAAATATTTCTTTTGCAATAAATATTGAATATGGAGCATGGGCTTCGGTTAAAGATGAAGAGCATAGCTGCTAGACTGTCGTACATAATGCATCAGATTTAATGGGACTCTGGATTTATTAGGATCTTTCTTCTTTTTTAAAATTATTTTGGAAATGTTGTGCTTTTGTCTTTATTACCCAGGTCTAAACGGCGCAAACAACGAGGAGACGACACAAATCGACGTGGTCCTCTCCACCCTCGAAGACATTCGAGTCCCACTCGGCAGAATTTTGTACTACGAAAAAGAACTTGACGAAATCCAAAAGGTATATGAATAACTCATTTTAAAGAAGACATGTCACATTAACAAGTTTGATCGAATATTTAAGCACAACTCTACCGTATTTGAAAGCCGAGTTGTCCAACTCAATAGCAAAGAATGTTTGTAGAAATATGTCGATGGACAATTAAATTCACTAAACTATTAGCGTATATTTACTCACCAATTAAAAGAACACGTTTCCATGGTAACCTTTGAGTTTCCGTTTGGGTGTTTGCACGTATCAGTTTCAATGTTTAACTACACCATTGGACTTTGTATATCCGGTTGTGACATAATTGACCTATCGCCGTTTGGTTAATGGTTGATTATTTTTTGATTCACATTTTTTAAAAAGGGGTATCATATTTTGCAGCGTAAAATAAGTAAAATGTATATGATACTTGTATAATCATTCCTGCCATCATCGTGACTGGCTAAGAATGAGAATAAAAATCACATTTAAAGATTTTAACTTGGAATCTTTTAAATCTTTTTTAAGCCTTGTACATCACTCATGCACAGATACAGAGAGAAACGTCGAATGCAAACCATGTAAGACCTACAATAAATCAACTGTTTTTTTTTCTCTCTCTCCAGAAAGAAAAGCTGAAAGAGTTTTATGAAAAGACGGCCCCCAAATACATGGCGGGACTTGAAAAGATGCTCACAGATAACAATGGTGGTCATGGCTTCTTCGTGGGTTCAAAGGTGAAATTGGATAAATGGCGCCCTCTGGTGATATCTTTGAAAAAAATAATATATTTTAGATTTCGAGACTGAAAATACACAACGTAGGTTTTCATGGGACTTTTGCTTTGACCTCTAACAACACGAAAGCATCCCTACTTATGTACAATTTATCGCTAATGTACTTCTCCATGCAGATTTCTCGTGCCGACATCTTCTTTTACGTCGTCATGGAAACGGTCGAAGAGGACGAGCTGAAGAAGTACCCTAAGCTGTCGGCACTGATGAAACGCGTTGCCGAAGCCCCGAAGATCGCTGCTTACTTAGCAAAGCGTCCGCAGACGCCATGGTGAACCTTGTGGGACAAGCGGCTGAAGTCTAAGAATGAATGGCAGTAACTTGGCATGACGGCCAAACTGAGAAAAAACCCTATCGAAAATACTATCCATAGGCCTAAATACCTCAGACACTGGACCTAGTCTGGTTCCCAGACCATAAGAATCTGACTATTCCTGATGAATCTTAGGTCCGGAAGCATCCGGTAATACATTGTATTACAATTCATGTCACGTGACTAAAACGGGAGGAATTCCTCCTTTTTCCGAAAATTTCCAAACAGGACAACAAATTTGCATTCACTGTGTTATTTTTGTTTTATATACTTTAAAAAAATGGACTTTAGAAGCCTTATTGGTTTTCCCACAAAGCAGGGTTTTAAATTAAGTTCCGGGAATGTTTGCTCAATCACACTTTTCCCCTTAAATACAAAATAATAATAAACTGAGGTTATTAACCGTCTACATTTTGTGTGTGATAACAAATTTTTTTTTGAGAAAGATTTTAATACATGTATATGTACATGTATCTCGAAAAAGTATCGAGATTGAAATTGCGGGTTGTTAAATAAATAATTTCCGAAAAGCATTTTAAGGTGCTTAATATTTAGGACCGTACATAGTCTGTCAAGCCATCCAACCCTCTTGCATAGGCCCTAATACTATATTCAAGGTCAACTTCACCGTCATTTTAAGATTAAAAAAAAATCTTTTCACATCGCATGAAATTTACAAGTCACACTGGGTCTGAATAAAGCTAGATCCATACTTACTTATAGACCTTTTCACCAGAAAATGATAATTTATGCAACTGAGGATAATGTATGCAATATGAGGGCCGGCCGTGAGGCGGCAACGAAACTGGGTCCATCATGTACGGGGGTCCAAACATTCGGGTCATTTTCTCTCCATTTGTCCAGGATTTTTGGCTGTTTTGTCTTTAGAGAAGCCTCTAAAATCGTCATAAGTAATACTGTTTATCATGGTTTTTACGTACAAAGGAAACGTTTTTAGGCCTTAAAAAATGTTTTCGGATCCGTGCGTTCGATGCCGAGGGAAATATGCAGGACTCCTTTCCGTGGAACAAAATATTCCTGTTTGATTCGGGGTACCATCCATCAAATTTTGGGCCGAATCGCTGTCTGAATCATATCAAGGGCGAAAGCACGCACAAGTACACTGCCGTGCCCCACATCCCTTGTGCCGGCGGGCGCGGCGCAGCTAGCCCGCGTAATTCATCCCCTGATTCGGCCCAAAATTTTTACCCCGAATCACACAGGGTTTTTTATCACTCATGCGGAAAGGAGCCCTGCCATTTACCCTTGATATCCTGCGCACGGGACGACAAAATGTATTCAAGTTTTATTTTGTGCATCAAAAAGAAAAAAATTATGCTGGATAGTATAACTTAAGACGATTTTAGAGGCTATTCTCAAGCAAAAAGCGAGAAATCCTGGACAAATTGAGAGATAATGACCCGAATGTTTGGACCTCTGTACATTTTCAACGGGCCCACCTACGTACGCTTCCGCCTCACGGCCTTCATTTGCATATATTATCATTTTCGGGTGAAAAGTCTATTGCCGAGTATTATAACAGCAATGACGGGGCAGAAAATGAAAGGTCAGCTGATGACCTAAAGATTGCCGTCATACAAAATTGGGCCTACTGTGCACATATTGCATATGCTATAATAGCTAGCCATTGCTGAAAGAACAACGTGCACATTGGGGGCCGCCTTCAAACACCGGAACACAGAGCGCACGGTTATAGCATCATTGCCCGCTTATTTGTGTGGAGTCCATTGCCTGCAGCCTAGCCTACTATTCGACCTGCAATTCCAAGATGCCTTCCTACAAGGTGATTTACTTCAACGGCCGTGGGTACGCCGAGACCACGCGCATGATGCTGGCTCATGTCGGCCAGGAGTTTGAAGATGTACGGTACACTCGCGAGGAATGGCTTGAGCACAAACCGAGTAAGTTAATTCTGTCTGGAGCCTGTGTATAGCCTAGGGACCTACAACTTATCATACAAGCATGCAGTGAAATGCTAGCTGTGCAATATTGTGTATGGATTAATTAGGCTCTTACTTTGTAGCGTTCATAATCGAAGGGGCAATTTTCATTCAAAAAATATGACTGGGGTTGTTGTGAGGGTTGGGAATTTTTTTCCTCCATGATTTAACCAAGATTACATGGCTCACATAGACCAACACTCAGCTCGGGCAAGAAAAGACTTGCTAGCCAGCTGCCTATAACCGTTAATTGATCATCCAGTCTCTTTCCCCCATGTATTTTATACGTGAAAATAAGGCTTATTTTGTGTCTACGTACATGTACATGCGGCAGTCATATGCATGGATTATGGTGGCCCTGAAGGGACACCACAGTCGTGATTTTTATCTACGACAAGTCGACACCACCTATTCTAAACAAAAATAATAATAATACAAAATCACGACGTGCAGGAGTGATGACGTCGTTTCGGTGATATAGGCCTACGAATTTGATATTTTTTTTTAAAGAAAACAACAGTGGTTCGAAAGAGTGTACAAGTTAAGTAAGATTGGATCATGGTTATATACGTGATTTAAGTCTGAGATATGACTTTTGGTGATGAGTCTGAGTTGACTTCCCGTCACAACCCCTTTCACCTTTAACCTTTCATCCTCTCCCAGGGGCGTTTTTATTTTAGTAGGGTTTTCAGTTGAAAAAAAATATTATTTCAGACGCACATTTCCGGGTTTCATTCATTAGTTCATATTAATAAATACCTTGGAGAGTTGATGGTTTCTGATTGGTCGAGACTCGATCACGTGGCCGGGCATTAACGGTGATATAAAGACCGGCTTCAAAGAACAAGCGAATAAATGGCCCCTGAACCAGCATTGATCCAGCCCCATGGAAGGCAATGATTGTCCAAATTTACAACAGTCATACCAGCCTCGACTCCAGGGGCGCGTGCTCGTTCCTTACACTAACCCCTGGCTGTGATGATGACGTAAATGACGCTGAATGGCTATTCACAGCGTACTGCGCGCGCATTTCGAAGATTGCACGCCGGGCGCGCCCATAATGCGCTCGCGTGCTTTGCACGTAACGTCACCTTCGAAACAAAAATTATGATTCAACAGTCGCGATGCCTGTACGATATGGATTATGTCAGCCGCGTTTTTTCGCTAAAAAAAAACCTGTATCTGTGGTTGTAAAGGCACGAAAGGGATACTTACATTTAATACAAATCTTTGCTAATTAACACAACGTCCAAACGTTGTGTTTGAAAGGATTGATTCTTCAAAATCACAACTTTTAACATTTTAAAGATGGCGTCGGCACGTAAAACGGATAAACTGCAGCCCTAATTATAATGTGCCGTATTTTGGCACATTTAAATTACACAATTCCAGGGGTTACGATCGCGCAAGGCATGATGTGAAACAACATGGCGCTGCAAGATCGTACCCACGGGGTACAAGGTTGCAGTCATACGGTAGCTTGTAACAATACAGCACTGCACATGCGCTCAACCACCTTCGCGTGAGACTGACGCGCGCGTACGCAACACAGTTGCTATGTGTGCGCGCGCGTAAGGAAGTTTTGAAACGACGACGACAGCGGCAGTGCACTATACTGAGGATGTTACGACGAAAGCGAAGATCTACGATTTATTTTCTGTAAATACTTCGCCCATCGACATATTTATCTTTCCTAGCCAATTTTGTAATTCTGGACACAAGGAATGTGTAAACGAAATTTCAGCTTCCTCCATAAGGTAAATATATGAAAACATTGTTGTAATTTGTTTGGCTACGGCAGCAGAAGTCGTACGCGTACGTACGCAATGAAGACGTTGCAATATTGTCCAGCGCAGCCTGGGCCCGGCTGTGGTGTATATAACAACGCTTATTGAAGAGACAGGGTACCACGCATTAGCTAAAATATGGCCCATGAACATGAACACAAAAAAGTCTGGAAATATCGCCGGAAAAAAAAGTCACAAAATTGGAGCATTTTAACTGTTTATTTCGTTAAAAAGGTATTTATTAATGGGAATAACAGTGTGAGGATCTTGTCTTCACTGCGTGATAATGACCGGGTTTGGGGGTGACCGCTGTTAATGGACCGAGACGCAGTGAAGACCGGACCCTAACACTATTATTCCCTTAGTACTGTATGGCGGCGTCTTTAAATCCAACTTCATTTTCTACATTCTCTCTCGACAGATGTGCCTTTGCAGCAGCTGCCTAACCTGGAAGTCGACGGGAAGATCATTCTCCAGAGCCGGGCCATGCATGGCTTTGTGGCCAGAGAGTTCGGTGAGTTTTCGTACAGGTTGTTTGGCCTATTAATTAAATTTGCGGAAGGGTGTTTCAGAAGATACATTTGAAGTTCATTAATTGTCATCACTGCGTGTACTCGGTGCACGAAAAAAATACAGGTAGGAATATGGGAACATGTAAGCTTATGTGATGGTTGGCGATAGAGTATAGCAGTCGTTCTAGTGAAACGTTGCTTCTAAACTATGTTCAACTTGACTGGTCATGTAAACTGTTGCCATCATCCATGCGTCGTACCCACAATGCATCAGAGCATCAGAGGTAAGCCTCGTTCAAGGAGTCTAAATTGCACATGGCACTCAACATTCTCAATTTCGTGAAACTTGTCTTTGTACGTCGTGTAGGCTTGAATGGTGCGAACAACGAGGAAACAACTAAGATCGACGTGATCTTGGCAACGCTTGAAGATCTTAGAACGCCACACAGCAGGATTCGGCATAGTGAGGAGGGCGAAGAGAAGAAGGTGAAATAAGGCAAATCATTTCTTTGTTTCAGATAAAAATGTAAGCTATTTCCGAAATACCCCGATGAATTATCTCCGTCAACATTACTTCAATCTTTTCTTTGTTTTCTTAGAAAGAAAAGATGGCTGAATATTATGCGCAGACTGCTCCCAAGTTTTTAACGGGGCTTGAGAAGATGCTGGCAGCCAACAATGGTGGTGACGGATTCTTCGTCGGCTCAAAGGTATTACACCTAGACATGCATGGCGCGCAGTTTTTATTTAGTCGCCGTTGTCGTTCGAGATGACAAAATATTTCACTCGAGAAAAAACGGTTTTTGAGTACTAGAAATAGGTAGGCCCCTACTTATAGTTAAATTTGATCATTCACAGTAGCTCATCATTGTATTTGTCTTATTTGATGATCAGTGTGTATTAAATATTTAAACTTAATTTGACAACTGAAAAAATAGTAGTTGGCGTTTCAATAGCGCCCTCACTCGAACCTGAGTGGGGCAGAAAGGCTTCGTAATAAAGTCACGAGCCCGATGTTTCAAAGAAAACATTTACACATCATTTCCTTCCATTGGAGTTTGATCAAAAAAATGATGTCCAAGGATTATTCTCCACCAGATTTCTCGTGCCGACATCTTCTTTTACGTCGTCATGGATTACCTGGCCGAGGATGAAGTCAAGAAGTACCCTAAGCTTGTTGCTCTCAGGGAGCGCGTCGCCAAGGACGCCAATATCGCTGCTTGGCTGGCCAAACGCCCGCAGACGCCGTGGTAGAAAAGATGCTCCAGAGTACAGCAAGCTTGAAAGATTTGACAACTGATAATTATAGATCGATAGATACATTTGTAAAAATCACCACATTACACAATTGTCATGTTTGTTTGGTCCACTTGATATTATAGACACTGCCTCGATGTACACGATCATTTCACAAAATGTCCGCAGACGCCATGGTAAACCTTATGGGACAAGCGGCTGAAGTCTAAGAATGAATGGCAGTAACTTGGCATGACGGCCAAAAGACAAAACCCTATCGAAAATACTATCCATAGGCCTAAATACCTCATGACACTGGACCTAGTCTGGTTCCCAGACCAAAAGATTCTGACTATTCCTGATGAATCTTAGGTCCGGTAGCCTCCGGTAATATATTGTTTTACAATTTACGTCACGTGACTAAAACGGGAGGAATTCCTCCTTTTTCCAATAATTTCCTAAGTTTGCCGAATTCGTTTCGCCGACAATCGGATAGCGCCCGAGTATTTCCGAGTATAATATAGCTTTAATTAACTGCTAATTGCTTATTATTTTTTTTAAATGAGTTGATAATTAATATTCATTGCTTTCATTTAGAAAACTTGAAATTCAACGATGATTTTGCGCATCAAATATACTCGGATCGTATTGGCGAACTTTTTGCTGCGTCATGTACAATTTTGAATTTGACGACCGTTACCGAGATTTTCCAAAACTCGGTCTTCTTCGGCTCCGCCTGCTAACAGTGCTATTTGCGTGCCTAATTTTGAAGATTCCAGATCAACATTTGTCAATGTTATCTTACAGCAACATCAAACTGTATTATCATAACTGAATGATATTACGAAGCAAGTGATTTATTGAAAAATTTGATCAGAACATTAAAAGCTAAAAGTGATAAAGCGAAATCGGAAACGAAGCCCAGCTTTGAAAAAGGGACATCAATGTCGTCATGTTTATTTTTAGCCACGGAGGCTGCCTGACCTACAATTTAGACGTGAGCGTCGGGAATAATTGTCAGGTCTGGGAACCAGACTAACACTGGACCATTCCAATTGGTTCAAATCCCGTCACGCGGACGGTTATACACTGCGATTAAAGCTATCAGTCGGCAATAAAAGTGGCCCCTGAATCAGGACAACAAATTTGCATTCAGTGTGGTATTTTTGTTTTATATACTTTATTAAAAAAAAAAAATTGGACTTTAGAAGCCTTATTGGTTTTCCCACAAAGCAGGGGTTTGAATTAAGTTCCGGGAATTTTTGCTCAATCACACTTTTCCCCTTAAATAGAAAAATAATGATAAACTGAGGTTATTAACCGTCTACATTTTGTGTGTGATAACAAAAAAAGCTTTTTTTATTTTGAGAAAGATTCTAATACATGTATATGTACATGTACATGTATCTCGAAAAAGTATCGAAATTGAAATTGCGGGTTGTTAAATAAATAATTTCCGGAAAGCATTTTAAGGTGCTTAATGTTTAGGACCGTACATAGTCTATCAAGCCATCCAACCCTCTTGTATATAGGCCCTAATACTATATCCAAGGTCAACTGCACCGTCATTTTAAGATTTAAAAAAAATATTTCCACAACGCATGAAATTTACAAGTCTCACTGGGTCTGAATAAAGCTCGATCCATACTGATAGACCTTTTCACCAGAAAATGATAATTTATGCAACTGAGGGATAATGTATGCAATGAGGGCCGGCCGTGAGGCGGCAACAAAACTGGGTCCATCATGTACAGGGGTCCAAACGTTCGGGTTATTTTCTCTCATTTGTCCAAGATTTCTCGCTGTTTTGTCTTTAGAGAAGCCTCTAAAATCGTCATAAGTAATACTGTTTAGCATGTTTTTTTACGCACAAAAGAAACGTTGTTAGGCCTTTAAAAATGTTTTCGGATCCGTGCGATCGATGCCGAGGGAAATATGCAGGGCTCCTTTCCGTGAAAAAAATATATATTCCTGTTTGATTTGGAGTACCATTCATCAAATTTTGGGCCGAATTGCGGTCTGAATCATATCAAGGACGAAAGCACGCACAAGTTGTACATTGCCCCACATCCCTTGTGCCGGCGGGCGCGGCACAGCTAGCCCGCGTAATTCATCCCCTGATTCGGCCCAAAATTTGTTCCCCGAATCACACAGGGTTTTTTTTATCACTCATGCGGAAAGGAGCCCTGCCATTTACCCTTGATATCATGCGCACGGGACGACAAAATGTATTCAAGTTTTATTTTGTGCATCAAAAAGAAAAAAAAATATGCTGGATAGTATAACTTAAGACGATTTTAGAGGCTATTTTCAAGCAAAAAAGCGAGAAATCCTGGACAAATTGAGACATAATGACCCGAATGTTTGGACCCCTGTACATTTTCAACGGGCCCGCCTACGCTTCCGCCCCACAGCTCTCATTTGCATATATTATCAGTTTCGGGTGAAAAGTCTATTGCCGAGTATTATAATAGCAATGACGCGGCAGAAAATGAAAGGTCAGCTGATGACCTAACGATTGCCGTCATACAAAAATGGGCCCACTGTGCACATATTGCATGTGCTATAATATTAATAGCATTGCTGAAAGAACAATGTGCACATTGGGGGCGGCCTTCAAACACCGGAGCACAGAGCGCACGGTTATAGCATCATTGCTCGCTTATTTGTGTGGAGTCCATTGCCTGCAGCCTAGCCTACTATTCGACCTGCAATTCCAAGATGCCTTCCTACAAGGTGATTTACTTCAACGGCCGTGGGTACGCCGAGACCACGCGCATGATGCTGGCTCATGTCGGCCAGGAGTTTGAGGATGTACGGTACACTCAAGAGGAATGGCTCGAGCACAAACCGAGTAAGTTAATTCTGTCTGGAGCCTGTGTATAGCCTAGGGACCTACGACTTATCATACAAGCATGCAGTGAAAGGCTAGCTGTGCAATATTGTGTATGGATTAATTAGGGTCGTACTTCGTAGCGTTTTTGCAATTTTCATTCAAAAATATGACCGGGATTGTTGCAAAGGTTGGGCATTTTTTGCCTCTATGATTTAACCAATATTACATGGCTCACACTCAGCTCAGGCAAGATAAGATTTGCTAGCCCAGCTGCCTTTGCCTTTAATGGGGTTGTCAGTTGAAAAGTATATAATTTCAGACGCACGTTTCATGGGAGCTCATGGTACTGTATGGAGGCGTCTTTAAATCCAACTTCATTTTCTACATTCTCTTTCGGCAGATGTGCCTTTGCAGCAGCTGCCTAACCTGGAAGTCGACGGGAAGATCATTCCCCAGAGCCGGGCCATACATGGCTTTGTGGCCAGAGAGTTCGGTGAGTTTCCGTACAGGTTGTTAGGCCTATTAATTAAATTTGTGGAAGGGTGTTTCAGAAGATACGTTTGAAGTTCATTAATTGTCTTCACTGCGTGTACTCAGTGCACAAAAAAAATACAGGTAGGAATATGGGAACATGTAATCTTATGTGATGGTTGGCGATAGAGTATAGCAGTCATTCTAAAGTGGCTACTAAACTATGTTCAACTTGACTGGTCATGTGAACTGTTGCCATCATCCATGCGTCATCGTACCCACAATGCATCAGAGGTAAGCCTCGTTCAAGGAGTCTAAATTGCACATGGCACTCAACATTCTCAATTTCTTGGAACTTGTTTTTGTGTAGGCTTGAATGGTGCGAGCAACGAGGAAACAACTAAGATCGACATAATCTTGGGAACGCTTGAAGATATTAGCAGGCATATGCAAAGCGGTGAGACGGACGAAGAGAAGAAGGTAAAATACGGCAAATTAATACTTTGTTTCAGATAAAATGTTAGCTATTTCCGAAATACCTCGATGAATTATCTCCATCAACATTACTTCAATATTTTCTTTGTTTTCTTAGAAAGAAAAGTTGGCCGAATTTTATGCGCAGACTGCTCCCAAGTATTTAACGGGGCTCGAGAAGATGCTGGCAGACAACAATGATGGTGACGGATTCTTCGTCGGCTCTAAGGTAAACCTAGATTAAAATGGCGCGCGGTCATTTATTTCCTCGACGTTAATTGTCGTACGAGCTGACAAAATATTTCACTCGACAATAAACGGCTTTTGTGTACTAGAAATAAGTAGGCCTCTACTTGTAGTCAAATGTTATCATTCACATTGTCATTCTTCAATGTATATTCCTTATTTGATGAGCAATGTGTATTAAATTTTTTAACTTAATATGACAACTGAATAATAGTGGTTGGCGTTTAAATAGCGCCCTCACTCGAACCTCAGTGGGGTAGAAAGGCTTCGTAATAAAGTCACGAGCCCTATGTTTCAAAGAAAACATTTACACATCATTTCCAACCATTGGAATTTGATCAAAAGCTGATGTCCAAGGTTTATTCTCTACCAGATCTCTCGTGCTGACATCTTCTTTTACGTCGTCACGGAATACCTGGCCGAGGATGAACTCAAGAAGTACCCTAAGCTTGTTGCTCTCAAGGAGCGCGTCGCCAAGGACGCCAATATCGCTGCTTGGCTGGCCAAACGTCCGCAGACGCCGTGGTAGAAAGATGATCCAGAGTACAGCATGATTGACAGCTTTGACAGTTGATAATTATAGATCGATAGATACATTTGTAAAAATCACCACATTACACAATTGTCATGTTTGTTTGGTCAACTTGATATTATAGACACTGCCACAATGCACACGATCATTTCACAAATGTCGTGACGTCAGTAAACTGCCATTAAATATATAATTGTACTTAATCTGAGGGATCTGAGGCAATAATATACAAGATAAGGTGGAATTTGAATCATGCTTGCGGTCAATTTTTATTCTTAGTAGTTAAGCAAATAAACACTATATTTTCAGAGACAAAGAATTGTTTAGAAGCAAAGTCGGTACGCTTTTCGTGAACTACTTCAGTTACAAGAACACATACGGTCAGGAAGTTGAATAGGGCTATCCCTAACAGTCCTGAAGCCTCCAATTCCAATACGATTTGCACACCCCCTAGGGAGTTGGGGTTAACAAAATCTAATATCACCTGTTCATTTAAAGGTGTTTTTAATACCTATACCTACATTATCTTTAAAAGCAGCTGTTCCATTGAATTAGAGGCTGATGAATGGAAATTACATAAGTATAAAACCAAATTTAATTTGGTCTAAACATTAAAGTGTCCCAAAGTTATACTATGATACATTGTAGCAAACAAGATGGGAAAAGTGCCTGTGTGGACGGTAATTCTGTCCCCCGTCCGGGGGACAGAATTACCTAGGTAAAAGTGTCCTCCCCGGCCCGTTAATTCTGTCCCCCTTCAGGTAATTCTTTCCCCTCGAGGTTTGTCCCCCTAGTTTTGCAATGCAGAAGGCCAGTAATTCCCTACATTGTTTTAATGAATTCATACAAGCTATACATTTTTTTACTTTTTAGTAAGCCCTTCATGAAGATGAATAAAATTAACTTTTTGCTCTTTGTGAAATATGAACAATATGTTTCGATCGACTCGGACTCGGAGTACGGTGAAATTACAGCAAGGTCGTGCACTACAGTAGCCCTTTTCTACGGTGGACGCCTCATTGATATAACGCCTACTTGGATTGGTCTAAATGGCTGCCATCCTTGTGAAATAGTTCAGTCGCAAAAGAACAGTCGAAAATTTAACAAAAGCAGCTGTTCCCTTTATGTTACTTCTGGGCTTATGAATATGGAAATTATAATAAGCATACAGCGAAATATAACTTGATCAAGGCATAATTACCCCCAATTACATTACAACAAATAGCGATGCATTCCAGCGAACTTCATGTAGATATTAAAGGGCCAGAGAGACAATTTTTCTACATTATTTATGACAAGCGCATATTTAGAATGGTTTAAGACTTTAAGGGAGGGTGCTTTTTGATGTGGGCCCTATTCACGCGTCGGCCATATTGAATTTAAAGTGAGGTAAAATCTTCATTTTTGGAACTTGCGAAGAGAAATAAAAGCAATGACATAAAGTTAATTACATATTATATCAGTCTGCTCTAATGAATAATTTTTAAATTTTTGATTAAACATACCCTAATGTTTTAAGCCACAAAAAAATGAAAGTGAGGCTAGAATGTATAGTCTGGCACCATTCCATTCAGCAGTTCACAAGTAATAAAATACATTCAGGGAACCCAACCAAAATGGCGTTCTCGTAAATAAGATCCATAGATCTTGTTCATGCCAGTGTAACATTAATTAACATATTATGATTTTTGCTTTCAGAACTCATGGTCGACTGAATCTATATGCCAATTTGGGGTACAGTGAGCGAGTGTCGGCTTATTTCAATCAAAATGTTTACCAATATTTTTCCACCTCCAGTCCAATTCAAACAGTTAATGTAGTCAGGTTTCTCAAAATGTTTTTATTTTGTTTCATCTCACTGCATTTAGCTCCTTGGGACCAAAACTGCCATTTATTTCTTTTTCCTTTTCATGGGAAAATTTGTGAATGGAGCGTTAATGTGTGTGCAGCTTCTAATCACAGTTATGAAGTTTGTTGTTCACTTGGGCAACAATTGTGATTAAATCAACAACACAAAAGCATGAATTTGTGTGTTATTCAGAATGTGTATCGTTTTGGCGACAAATAATGATGTGTAATATCAAGGGATTTCAAATTGGCATTGAAATGGAGGGCAAGAAGTCTTGAAGATTAAAGGGAAAATACAACATTTGCAAACATTAAAAAATAAAACTACCAAATCATTTTGAAATACCTTGCTGGACTGTTAGTGAATGACAGTCTAAAGCATCCTGTAAAATCATGGCACCTGGTATACTGTCATTTTCAAGAAAAGTGGTATTTTTGTATCAATTTCCAACGCTGATCGACCGACCAGCGTTGGAAAAACTGGCTTTTTTCAAATACTGGCCCCAATTGACCATCACGCTTGTTTGCAATCGATTACACACCTATGAACGGGTACAAGCCAGCTAGACTGGTTCCCTGACCTTACAATTCCCCAATGTATGTAAACTGCTCTGTTTCTTCTAAAATGATTGTTTTTCTTGGTTTTTTATAGCATTTTTGAACCCAAAAACCTCAAAAAAGTCAGTGTAACTATATTTGCTATATAATTATATCCAACCCCCCAATTCCATCCATTTCTGAAAATTACAGCGAAAGCAAATGATGTATATTCCCTTTAAAATTTGCACACAGGCCTACATGTACATGTACTACAACTTTTCAAATACATGTAGCAAGAAAACGGACACACAAGACACAACACAGGGACTCAAAAAAGAAACTTGAGGATACAATTTTTCCTTTCTTTCAATAAGTAACTTTATTCTCACTCTGTACATATCATGACAGGTGGTTCATACAGTTTCACCCTTGACCCCATTGTAACCCCAGTTGACCCCTGTGGATGACCCATGTATATGTAGATGACCCTTGGAGAGTGAATGGCCTTGATATCAATCAACCGGTATCGGCAACATCATTACTGCAATAAAAAAAGACAAAAAAAAGTTGAGTCAGAGAGGTGTCTCCAAAAATAGGCCAAATAGGAGCATCAATTTGGAACAATGCTACTAGTATTTGGCACAATGACTACAAGGTCTGGCCCGAATATAGCGAATACTGACTTGAATGGTCAATCACAGTGGCGTAGCTACGGGGGGCGTGGGGGGGGGCGACAGCAGTGCAGTGCTTTGTCAGGTACCAATTTTTTTGTCCACGATAGTTTTTTTTGTCAACGGTTCATTGTTCACACCCTTTAGCAGGTCAAAGCCTTTTTACAGCTATGAACAACCTACTGTGAAACACTCCAGCGCCCCATATCTATCGCTCCATGCAAATTTCAACCCTAACCGCCCTGAATCCTCCAAATCCTTTTTGCAAATTGGAGGAATTTGCAGGATTGAGGTTACATGGCAAAAGTGCGTTGCTGATTTCAGAGTATGCACTGTGTCAAGGTCTTGGGCCAGACCTTGTGTTGTTTATGCTCAGCCGTGCATAAATTTAGTCCTTGATTATACTTGACATCCTCCGCACTGCTCCAGGATGTCAATGCCTCTGCTTCAACCTATTGACAGTCAAAGCCGGAGGATTTTGCAGGATTCAGGCAGTGGTCACCCCTCCATGGACCATATTCAAGAAATAGCGCAGGAATTTGCAGGGTTGAGGCTATATGCTATTTTTCCATGAGGCCAATTGGAGGATTTTGCAGGATTGAGGCTACATCCTGGCAAAAAGGCCTAGGGAGTTGGGGTTGACTGGCACACTCCTCAGATGCATGCATGAACTGTTTTATACACTGAACAACATACTTTATTATTGATTCAACTTTCAAGCTACGCAGCTGTAGAGGACACTTTAACAAGATGAATGAAATCCAGTCTTGGGAACCTGGCTCTCAGACCCAAGAAAATCTTATATCTCATGCCGGTGTAGCGTGAATATCCGACTCCATGAAATATGGACTCATTGGTAGTATTGCGCATGCGTTTAATAGTACGATAATATGCTATTTTTAGGATCATATAGGGAGAGTGACCTGTCACATGCGAGGGGTTAACCATTGATAGGGAAAAGGAGTCCGATTTTCATACGAGTCAGATTTTCATATGACACCGGCATGAAGTCCCCTCTGAGATCCCATCTGAATTGGACCATGAAGTGAGGTTTAACCTCCCTATAGCCAAATCAAAATGGCCAATTGGACTCACCTTCTTGCCAGCTGACACCTTTGTCTTGGCTGTTCCTCGCACCTTCTTCTGTCTGTTCTTGCGTTCCTTACGCTGCTTCCTAGAGGGTCGCTTCCGTTCATACAGCCCGTGCTACAATTTGTGACAGAGTAAAATCAAACGATTTATAGCCATGCATAACATGCATAATATGCTAGTAATACAAATGTGGAAAAGAAACAAGTGTCTCTGCTTTTCAAGAACTACAGTGGAACACCCCTAATGAACATCACAGGATGTTGTAAATCTGCCTGCTTCGCCCTATAATATCATTCTGGGGTTTCCCCCAACCACTAAAACTGTAATTTCCTTCTACGTCTTCATCCAAGGGACCCCACTGGATAGAAAGAAGTCAAAAGATTTTCGCAGGCTATCCCGGCCAATTGCTAAACGATCACAAGCAAACTAACAAATGCTGAATGCATTTCAACTCCAGCAAATATCGCCACAAATGTTTCATGACAAATTGACTTTGTCGTGTTCAAATTCATGTATTCAAATTCATTTGAAGCACATGAATGAATTGGCCTTAGGCCAAGAAAAAAAAATAGTTCCGCTTCCGATTACATGGCATTTGAAAATAGGGTAGGTAGGTAGGGAATTTTTTTTTTTTGCCAATTTTTTTTGTGTACGATCATATGGAGGCGTCTGCATGTAGTCAAGGGTAAAAGGTAGAAACTGATGGTTTTGGGTGTTTTTTCCTCATTTTTCCCATAAAAAAAATTAGGGTAGGGCTCTCAGAATAGGGTAGGTAGGGAAACCGGAAGCAGAACTTTTTTTTTTTTGGCCTTATAGGAAAAGTACTGACTCCATCAACATTTCTGTCTAAACAGAAGTTAGGACGGTCGAAATTATAATTAACTAGAGGTAAGGCGTAATTTATACAAATGCTTGGACGTACCCTTGCTAGTCTGTACTTGGGCTCATACTTCTTGGCGAAATCCAAGGTGTCGTACACCAGACCGAATCCTGTCGTCTTGCCGCCACCGAACTGGGTACGGAACCCAAAACAGAAGATGACGTCCGCGGTGGTCTTGTAGACCTTGGCCAGCTGTTCCCGGATCTCTGTCTTGGGCACGGTTGCTTTGCCGGGATGGAGGACGTCCACGACCATCTGCTTGCGGTTCAGCAGACGGTTGGTCATGAACTTGCGGGTTCGGACTGTCACTGCCGAGTCACCCTTCAAGAGGAAAAAAACAGAATAAAAGTTTTAAATAAACTGAAACACAATGTCAGTGAACCCTAGCAGGATATGTTCATGTTTAAAAGTACACACACTGTCATATGTCAACGGTCATGACTGTGAATTAGTCTTTGTTGCCTTGATCACAGGGAGCAGGATTCAAGATCATCACACAGTGACACTGTTGATGGCTCATGAGACATTAAACGTGACCTACAAAAACAACTCTCCCAAGTAAAAGTGAGGGCGTGCCACTTGAAAAACAGGTAGGGCATAGTAGTATACCTTTTCGATTCCTACTGTAATATTATAAGTACATTTTGTACGCCGCAATACCAACATGACAGTGCACACAGACAAAGCGTACTCTCGAGTCTCGACTCGCGAGAGTATTGGCAAAGATCCGAATTCATTGGGTAGAGAGTTACAATATTTAGGCCTAGTCCGAACTTGCTTTTCCAATACAAATTTGGGGGTTGTTTTTAAACATGTCGACCATTCCCGATCTGCACTTTCCAACAATGATTCCACTGATTATGTTACTCCAATATCATTTTATTAATGTAACCTCCTTTTCATGTGATCATAGTGATAAAACTCAATATCCAGCTTACGGCAAATTGTACGGAAATGTTCTAAATCGGAGCATCGTCGTTGACCATTGAATTTATGTTTAGTATAACAAAGATCAAATACAAAATTGTCACAGTGTCAAAATTGAATTCATCCCCTTTATAGAAATGTCTTCTTTTATCTCAAGATGTGTTCGGTTAAGTTGATGTTCAGGGATATTTTAAGCGTGTTTTCCTCACCATGTTGACAACAGTAATGGCTGCCGAAAAAGAGGCAATCGAAATGGTAATCGAGCGACTCTTCAATGTGTACGGTGCATACGCTACACGGCACGGGTTGATGCGCGGATACCAGTTTATATGGACCAATCAATACGGTGGCTCAGAGTGGCCATTGCAAATGAGATACTGAAAAGGATAGGAACTTTTTCGTATAAGATTCAATTTTAAAATTGGTAAAAAAAAAAACAATTAAAAGCGATAACTTGCTCTATGCTGCCATCGAAATCGCCGTGCTCTCATTATTTCCCGCTATCCCATTTCTTTTTGTGTTTGTGTCGGCGGGTAGCAGGGTTCGACCTTAACTTTTTTGTTCACTAGCCTGCCGGGCTACTGGCATTTTCACTAGCCCGCATTTTTTTTTAGCTCAAATACAAAATGGCGAATTTTCAGACTCAATTCTTAGGGAATTTTGTCAGTGTTTTGAATAAACAGATCTCATAATTTAACCTTTTAAAACAGTTGAAAAAATAGATAAAAAATGATGAGGTTAACTTCCTGAATTAAATGATTTATTTCTATAATTAATAGTATTTTGACTCGCCAGCCGGGCTACTTAAGGAATAGTTTGACAAGCCCGCCGCTGATTTGACTAGCATTTGGCTAGCGGGCTACCGCTAATTTCGAAGTGTACAAATCACTACTGCAAGTACAATTGTACACATGGCTAGAATAGAGCTACGTACGTGCAAGAAAATAACAACGACTGAAAGAAATTTCCATTCAGTGTTCCACAGTGCTTTGAATTCGTGCTTTGAACAAGGTCAGTTTCTGTTTGGTGGTCCATGTGTGAAGCAGGATAGGAGAATATTATCGTTTGGCTGGGGCTGCATTTAGCATCGACTGTATCCACTCAGTGTAAGGTCAATTTTACATGAACTTAATACATGTACATGAAGTAGGCCTAAAAACTGGCTGCAGTTGTTACAGTAGTATATGCATTGTACATGTACCACAAGGCAAGTTGACGTATTTATACACAATTTGACATCAATATGCTATATGATATTCCCCACACGAAGACAGATTGCTACATGTACATGTACATGTATATTGAAAACGAACATGTGTAGCGCAAGCTAGGCAGTACCTTAGTATCAGGTTGTTCTATTTCCTTTTCTTTTTTTTGGAAGGGCCATTATACAACTGCCAGTCGATGAACAAACTGATGCATGAATTGTTTTATACACTGAGCAACGCACTTTATTGTTGATTAAATTAATTTCAGTACCCTTTTATAAATAACATTTCGGTTTCCTTCCATAACAGTGAGTTGAGTCAAGCATGCCTTCTTACAAGCTCTTGTACTTTGATACCCGTGGCCGCGCCGAAGCCACACGGATGCTGTTCGCTGTGGCGAATCAGGAGTTTGAAGATGTCCGCATCACTAGGGAGGATTGGCCCAAAGTAAAACCAAGTAAGTTGTGCGTATTATATCGCCATCTATGATGAAACCTTTACCTCCCATGCTTAAATTAAATCGAACAAAATCAAATTTGTTTTCTATGAAGGGTGCCGAATTTCGAGAACCTGAAGAACTTTCGATTTGCAGTTTTAAAAGAAATATCTGAAACTGCTTCTATTGTGATTGTGAGATCCTTTCGCCAAAAAATATTCAATGAATAAGAACTTACAAAAATGGGGAATCCGGAAATCCACAAATGGAGGAGGCAGTGTGTAGTTCATTAAATTTTCTAAATGTTGAAGTATCCAATCTTTTAACAGTCTTTATTTCTCTTTAAACTTAATTCAGTAGAGATTGTTTTTCGTTTTACACTATTGCAGCCACTCCTCAGGGCCACATTCCGGTGTTGGTCGTCGACGGTAAACAACTTCCTCAGAGTGCTGCCATTGAATCATTCGTTGCAAAGGAGCTCGGTATTCTATGTTTGTTTGCTTTACGGTTTAAATTTGACTGTTTTACCATTTTTTGTAATGTTTTTCTCTAGACTTTCAGCGGCCGCACCTCGAGTGGCCCTCTGGTCTTGTGATGGGCGATTACCATTAAAGAAAAAAATTCATCCGCTTTGTGAATTTAAAGTACATTTTATTATGTTATTTGTATTATTATCATTGGTTTATTGAAACTCATGAGTCTTGGCCCGAAGACCAAATTTCACATGATTTACAATAAAATACCGTTAAAAGCAAAAACCATGTAAGCAATGGGTTCCTACTGTTCACAGTTATTTGTTAAAATATTTTTGCTAGCTGCTACACATCTGATTGATTTAAATACGCGACTGTCAGTAATTTGCGTTTTCAATTTTTCACTTCCAGGATTATACGGCTCTAATAACTGGGAGGCAGCACAGATAGATGTTGTCAAGGAAACACTAAAAGACTTGATCGACCCTATGATCATGCCCGTAATGTTTGAGCTAGACAAAGCCAAACAGGTAAGAGGATCCGTTAGGAGCACCACCCGAAATTAGCAGTATGCCCCCTTAAATTGGCAGGGTGTATTGTGCCCCCCCCCCCCCCTTCAGCAAACCGACCTTCTATATTTTACACGTATTATATTTCTTTTCTAACTTAACGATTTAATTAAGCTTAAGTGAATAGTTCATTATCCTCTTTGGGGTCTAAAGTACATTTTTTCCCTCCATCATTTTCTTTAGGCAGAAAACGCCAAGGAGTACTATGAGAATGTTGCACCTCCTCATCTAAAGAATCTCCAGGATCTTCTTGAAAAGAACAAAGACGGAATAGGATACTTTGTTGGTGATAAGGTAATATATACAAAAAGATGAAATTTTAAAGAAATATTTTTTCTTGATTTGGGGCACTTTAAAAGATGTTAATCAGTCAAAGTGTTAGCGAGTTATTTTAATGTGTTTCTTCTTATTCAGGTATCCCTAGCTGACGTCATCTTCTTCGTCACCATGGAGTGGTTTGAGAAGCCACCGTACTCCACCAAGGGCCTGGAAAGCTTCCCCAAACTGGTGGCGCTCAAGGATCGCCTGGCCACCAACGACCTCGCTAAGCATCTTAGAGAGCGCCCTCAAGTCTATTGGATCCATGATTGAAAATTGAGGGCGCTGTTGTAATATATAAAGGTTTTACTGGTTTCATCTCAAATATTTTTTGTTATGCTACATGAGTACGAGTGCCGATACGATTTTCTATTTGATGTTCAGGTACTGTTTTGGTAATTTGGCAATATATTACAGTAGGCCTATTTTAAAAAAAAATTAAAAATTGATAGTTATGCTAATAAGTAGTCCTTATCACCGAATGTTGAATATCAACATTTAACCACTAATGTGAATATGTTTTGTCTCAACTTGCTTAACCTGCATTCTATGTACGTTTTGTGTTAACTTTAAAGTGTTTTACACCAACATCATTGGACAGAATGCATAATTTGCATAAACATGTAATTACCAATTTGATTATAGCATAATTGGTATGACTAACCCTTTCTTAAACGCATAATGTATTTCGACTTTCGTTAAAAACATTTGCATCTTTTTCAGACCATGTTTCTTACTGTGCTCTGAACCCAGTTTCTGTTGATACCCGCAACATTCCGTTGTTTATCGAACCGTGATGTTTTACTACCTCGATTACAGGATCCATTACCGCTCACATAATATAGGGCATGTCGGGAAGAATAGTCAATTTTAGAATCAATTATCGTGTGTGTTTAGACCGCCTCGTAACGGATGTGTTCTGTATTTTCTGATGTAATCACTTTTAGACTTTTTTTATATCTGTAGTCATGCAAGCACTTTAAAATAAATTAAAAGAAACAAGATGGCATTGCTGTAGTTTTGATGTGCAAAGCAATGTAAGAATAAATTTTCATTTCAGCGATATTTTTACAAAAATTTCCTGCGTGGTTCATTTCAAGAAGAAAAAACTAACTCAGCTGTAATATTTCTATTTGTTTGTTCACTTTAACCGACACCCTTATCAGTTTTTATCCCTGAATGGACTTTGTACTACAAAAAAATTCTGAAGCACAGGCACTCTGCATAAATTATGAATACACATAATGCCGGTTGTATAGTCGTAACAGGATTGATCAGTGAACGCTGGTCGTGATACTGATACCGGTACATCACAGTCATCTGGATGGCAAGTGTTGATACACCGTGTTTATTTACATGGCTGCTGCTGTTGATACTCCTAGTCCGTATTTGGCCATTTGTATGATACATAGAGGAAGCCGACTGTATCAAAATATCATGGTTATTATTCAGCGGTAGACTGAGAGGCCATCCCACGCTGCACAAAGACAATTCGGTGCTGATTTACCAATAGGCCGCTACGCCTACACTGCTAGTTTCATAGGGTTTTCTGATTTCAGAAGTTTTGGAAGTACACGGACGCCTCTTTGATTAAATTTACCAATTCCCGGACAACCGTGAGCATCCCGTGTTGCAGTGTTTGGAGACGGATATTGAGAGGAAAACCAAGTGAGTTTCACGGGTAAATATCTGGACTCCTTTGTCACGAATTGAGCAGCGTATCTTCTTTGTATCTTCTATGTGCTTGCAGTTCATACAGACCAAGCAAAGTTTCATTTATTGAAACGTCCGAGCCAGCAATTGTTTCATTTATTGAAACGTCCGAAATCTGCATTGTGGAGCTACAGTGACATTAAAACTACAATGTAGTTAAAACGTTGCGGTGATATCAATGGAGGCCGTTAACTGGAAAGATTCTTAAAAATTATTTCGCGCCTTGAAATTAAGATGTTCGAAAAATCTCCCTTGTATAAGAGAAACGAGAAATTGTTGGACTTCAAGTTACACGCTGCTGACAAACATTGAATTCACACCTTAAAGGTATTGGCTTCAAATATTGTTTGCCAAATTGTCTTGGAAGGTCATTAGCCAGTAATTATGCTCTCAACATGAAATGCACGACGAAAGGAACTTCGCAGTTCAACCTTCCTTGAACGGTACGAGTGACAGCAAAATTTGCAGCAATGGGTCGGATACGAACCTTCGACATTGTGGTCGACGCTAACGGAGTGGCCGAGGTGAGGGGCGTGCCCATCTACAGACCCGGCGGTCATGTGACGGGGGTCGTCCATCTTGCCCTCAATACACCACGAGAGGACATAGGAGGTAAGAATGGGGCATTCACTTTGTGTAAAACAGGTTTTGAAAGATGAAAGTTTGTATGTATACTAAGACTGTTTAGATAATTAATTTAGATAGTTGGAGAACAGGACTCACACAGTTCTTATTGCATGCTAATAAAGCAATATTTCCTTTTCTTAGTCAATAACTACAAACTCGGCCACATTGTGTTCTCCATTTACTTGGTTGATTAGCAAAGATTTTTTTTAATGTAGAAATTAAATGCGAACTCGATTTTCTTGTATTCGTACGATTTAATTTTCAAGGATTTTTTTCCGAAAAGAAATCTCCTTTTTTTTAAACAAACATTTTTCTTTCCTCAGAAATTTCTATCAAGCTTCAAGGCCGAGCCAAGACGAACTGGTCCGAAGTCGTGCGATCGGGAAGAAGTGTCATCGGCGATCAGCCAGTGACGTATACGGGAACAGAAACGTACATCGACGAAAAGATATCACTGTGGAAACAAAGTGAGAACAAGATCATTGAAACGCACCATATTTTTTTGGTAAAACCAATAGCTCATGAAAAAAGGAAACAAAGTGAGAACAAGATCATTGAAACGCACCATATTTTTTTTTGTTAAAGCAATAGCTCATGAAAAAAAGGCCATCGGCTCAGTGAAAGTATCTAAACGTCAAGAATTACAACAACCAAAAACACTGAGCAAAAATATCAAGAACCACATTATATTCGAGATAATTTTTTTTCATTGTTCAATAAAACAAAAACATAAACGTAAGGTGTCTGCACTGTGTCAAGAATGAAGAACACTTAATCGAAGTTTCCGAACGGCTTAAGCTATTCCGCAAATATTTGGGCCTTACTTGATATTTTTCTTCACACGCTTTTGACCTCACTTTTTATGCCCCACCCCTCACAGCCCATTCGCACCAGAGGTTGAACCGAGGACCCTTTCAGTTCCCGTTCCAGTTCCAGATACCCAATGAGAACCTACCAACTGCCTATGAGGGGACCAGCGGCAGCGTCCTGTACAATCTCAAGTGCGAGATTAGCGGCGAGTCCTCGCTTTCTTACGCCAAGACCATCAAGACAATCGGCATTGCTGGCCGACCGCTGGACTTGAATTCTGTACCGAGTGCGATGGTAAGATTTCAGCTCCATAGGCCCTGGTTGATAGTGAGGCTACCTGGCAAACTTCCTTGTTCGAATCAAATGGAGTCTTACGTTATACTACTTTATAGAAACAGAACATAGATTGACATCATTGCCAGCCAATGATTTATTCAAAATAAAAAAGGCAACTCAAGTATTTGAACGAAATAGTGCCAGAGTAATTTTGAAAGTGAGTCAAGCACTGTAAACTTTATCAATTTGTCTGGCACCTTCCCATTGGGGAGTGTAAAATACATAAAATAGATTTGAGGAACAAAATTTAAAATGGCCATATCGTGAATGAGGGCCCATGGCTAGCTCCCCGTTTACCCTCAAACTCTATAGGTTCAGAATGTCCCCCATAAAGATAACAGGTGTATCAAGCATTAAGCAAGTCCCGTTTGCTTCATTCCTCAGCTTCCCATCCACGGCGAGTCCGAGACTCTCATGAGCTCACTCTGCTGCATCACCGGGTCCATCAAGGTCATAGCCTCGGCGGACAAACGGGCTTACATCCCTGGCGAGACGGCCTACATCACGGCCATCATCCATGGATCCAGCGGGACCAGATATGAGGTCGATCTTAAGCTCGTCGAGGTTTGTCTCAATTTTCTTTTCTCAAGTTTCTTACCTTGCTTCCACTATTTCTAATTTTCCTTTCTTTGCCTCCCATGCACCTCCACTTCTATAGCTTAGTTATCTTCTTCTTCTCTTGTGAGTTTCCTCTTTTCCTCAAACATGAGGCACCAGCAAGTGAACTGTGACAAAGATACATGTATTCCTTTGCTTGCTGTTCACGCCCTTTTTTGTGGCCTGACTTGTGACTTGACTTCTGTTTGGCTTGTGGCTGACTCTGAAGTATATTTGTCGTTTACTTATGATTGACTTGTGATTGACCTGTGATTGACTTGTGATTGAACTTATGATTGACTCTTGATTTGGTTTCTGATTGACACGACTTCAACTTTAACATTTTAGGAGGCCACTTTCCGGGGCACGGGATCCGTCTTCACATCTCCCGGAGTCAGTGTGGCACGCCCTGGTTCCTGTCAGCGATCGCGAGTCGTCTTTCGCAAAAAGACAAGCGGGGTGCTCCAAAGACAGGGCCAGACAACGATTCAGAGAGAACCTCTGATCATTCCGGACTTCAAACCCCTCGTCGACAGTGGCTTCCAGGGGTGTAGTATCATTGACGTCAACTACTTCATAAGTGTAAGTTTTTGCTCGACCCGATGGCCAGCTTACTGTGCTCTGACTGACCGACCGACCGACCGACCGACCGACTGACTCACCGACTGACTGAGTCACTGAATATATAAATATCTTAAACTGACACTTTCAGGTCCAGGTGGACTAGGCAAGCCAGGTCCAGGTGGACTAGGCAAGCCTAGTTTGTTAAAGCAACCGAGCCTCGGAGCTTGAGGAAATTCCTTCTATCCAGATGCACCTAATCCCTAGGCACTGTAGCCCGAAAGCCTGACAAAATAGAGAGAAGACAATGAGAAGAAATAACAGCTTTAGAGGTGGGAGAAAAAAGCCCAGAAGAATACTCTGGGGGAAACCCATGGAATCAGGTAGGGACTGAAAACCCAATCCACATATTGGCCCAGGCGGGATTCGAACCCGGGTCACAGCGGTAGAAGGCGGGGAAAGAACCGCTACGCCAACCTGACATCCCTAACCTCATTTTCATAGGCTTTATTTTTCTTGTCGGCAGATCAATCCCATTCTGAGCCGTCTACGTCAAACACCTGACACCGAGATTCAGCTGCCTGTCACTATAGGGCGTGTTCCATTCACGGCCCTCCCATCGTACCATGCATCGTCCTCTCACATGTCCCATCCTGCTGGTAAGTTACACAACGTTGA